GATGTCTTTGATCTGTCCATGGACGATGCGCGTCAGCATGCTTTGTATGTTGATGCTGACTTTAGTGCTGATGGATCTGTGTGCTCGCGTGTTCGTAGATTAGCTTGCTTGCCTCCTGCTAGTGTAGCGTTGTGCCTTTCTAGTCTAGGTGCTTGTGTTGCTGCTCTAGGTGCTTGTGTAGCTACTAGGACAGGTGACTCTCCGGCTGAGGCGTCCCTGTCTTTCACACTGGACTCGGGCGCGTCGCAGTGCTTCTTCCGCGACCACACGACCCTTACGCCACTCCTCACCCCTGTTTCGGTGGCTCTGGCTGATCCTACCTCTGGACCAGCCGTTGCTCGTAGCTCCACGACCCTCCCGTGTCCGGTGGTCCCCTCTGGGGTCCTGCGCGGTCTCCACATCCCCTCGTTCACTCGGAACTTGGTGGGTGTTGGATACCTCCAGGACCGAGGGATCACGGTTACCTTTGTGGGGGGTGGGAGGACTGCGGTCTGTACAGACGCTGCCATTGGTGCTGTTCTCGCCACGTTCACCTGGGAGCCCCGCTCCGGTCTCTACATCCTCCGCACCGAGCGCTCCCCGGTTACGTCCTCCCCTCAGGTTGTCCCGTCCCCTCCTGTCCAGGCGTCCAGTCCGGTTGAGGTGTCTAGTCAGGTGGCCGTGTCCAGTCCAGTCGCTGCGTCTTGCTCCTGTCGCTCTCTCGCCCACCGCACCGTCCTGTGGCACCACCGCCTTGGCCACCCGTCGATCCCTCGCCTTCGTGGCATGCTCAGTCAGGGACTTGTCACAGGTCTCCCACGCACCTTCCCGTCGCTCCCTCCCTCGCTTGCTCCCCCTTGCTCTCCGTGCGTCGCCGATCGCTTACGCGCCACTCCCCACTCCTCCTCCCTTCGTCCGGCCACCGCTCCCTTCGAGACTCTCCACTTGGACGTCTGGGGCCCTGCCCTGACGCAGGGGTCTGGGAGGGAGCGTTACTTTCTGGTGGTCGTCGACGACTACTCCAGGTACACCACAGTGTTCCCTCTTGCGAAGAAGTCCGAGGTGACTGCTACGCTGATCAGGTGGCTTCTAGCCACTGAGGGCACTCGTGGTCGTCGAGTCAGTTGTCTCCACTCCGACCGTGGGGGCGAGTTTCGCTCCGGCATTCTTGCCGGATTCTGCGGCGAGCAGGGCATTGTACAGTCCTGGACGCTGCCGGAGTCCCCACAGCAGAATGGGGTTGCTGAGCGCCGCATAGGCTTGGTCATGGACATCGCCCGCATGTCCATGATCCATGCCCGTGCGCCCCATTTTCTGTGGCCCTACGCGGTTCGCTACGCCGCACACCAGCTGAACCTCCAGCCACGTGTCTCGCGGCCCGAGGCTTCACCGACCAGTCTTTGGACTGGTTCCCCTGGTGTTGGGTCGGCCTTTCGAGTCTGGGGCTGCCTTGCGCAAGTCCGCGACACCTCTGCGGACAAGCTCTCGGCACGTGCCATCGACTGTGTCTTCCTTGGTTTCCCGGTCGACTCTGCTGACTGGTCCTTTTACCACCCGCCCCTCCACCAGATCCTCGACTCCCGTGACGTCAGGTTTGACGAGTCCGTGTCCTACTTCACCCGGTACCCCTGTCGAGGTCTCCCGGTACCCCCTCCCCCCCTTTTCCTCGCCCCCTCTCCTCCTCCTGTCCCCGCTCCTCCGGTACCACCGCCCCCCCCTGGTCCTGCTCCGTCTGGTGTGTCTCACGCTACCCCTCTGCCGTCAGTCGCACGTCAGGTCGCGTCTCCCTCCCCACAGTCCTCCTCCCAGTCCCCTCAGCAGCCCTCGGCACGTCCGCGACAGGTGGTTGCGGACTCTGGGGGTGTTGGCGCTGGGGGGGCTGCCACTGGAGGTGCTCGGTCACAGGGTGCTGGAGCTGGAGGTACTCGCACTGGGGGCACTGCTTCTGGGGGTGCAGGAGTCGGAGGTGCTGGTGCTGGAGGCACTGACACTGGAGGTGCTGGTTCTGGGGGTGCAGGAGTCGGAGGTGCTGGTGCTGGAGGCACTGACACTGGAGGTGCTGGTTCTAGGGGTGCTGGTTCTGAGGAGACTGGAGCTGGAGACCCTGGTTCTGCGGAGTCCACTCCGCCTCCCCACCGCCACGACACCCGTCTCCAGGCTGCCCGTCGGCGTGAGCGTGAGGAGCTGGAGCGGTTGGAGAGGGAGCGGCAGGAGCTGCGGGTGCTGGACCTTCTGGAGCAGCAAAGGCAGCAGCAGCAGCAGCCGCAGCAGCAGCAGCAGCAGCCGCAGCCGCAGCAGCAGCCGCAGCAGCAGCCGCATCCGCCGCAGCAGCCGCAGCAGCAGCAGCCGCAGCCGCCACCGCAGCTTCCTCTGGAGCGGCAGTTGTTCCCACCTGTGAGTGGCCTGCGGGCCCTTGGCCTTTCCTCCTCTCCTCCTGTCCGCTCCCAGTCTCCTCCTGTGTTTGGTCCTACGTTGCCTCCTCCTGACGACCGTCCGGCGGTCTGGTCTTCTCCTCCTCCTCAGTCCCCTCCTCCTGCAGTCCGTCACGACTGGATCACTCGTTGTCCTCCGCGTGCTCGTCACTCGTCCCCTGTTACTGACCTCCACGCTGCCCTCCTTTGTACGTCTCGTCGTCGTTCTCCTTCTCCTGTGTCTGTTCTCCCGTCTCCTCCTCCGTCCTCTCTCCCCGCCCTCCCCACTCCTATCTCTGACTACTACCGTGCTGTTCGTCCCGTTGCCTCCCGTGTCCTCGCCACTCTTGTCACCGACTCTCGTTTCCCTCCGTCGTCTGTCTCGGCTCTCACTGCCGCTGTTGCTTAGTTCGCTGCCGCCAGCCGCCTTGACTACGCCACCCGTGTGGTGCCAGCTCCTCCCTACCGTCCTCTGTCCGTCGGGGGTGAGTTTGCCCTTGGCTGTGACGTCCTAGAGGACAGAGAGTCTGAGCTGGAGTACTGGGCAGCCGCTTCTCCTTCTGTGTGTGCCATGCTGCTCTCCCCTGAGGGAGACCCCGACGCCCTTGACATACCGACTCCTCGCACTTACCGCGAGGCAGTGTCAGGGGCGTGGACCTCTCAGTGGAAAGCGGCTATGGACTCAGAGTTGGCGTCTTGGAGATCCACAGGCACCTACGTCGACGCAGTTCCCCCTCTCAGGGCGAACGTAGTCGATGGCATGTGGCTCTTCAAGGTGAAGCGGCCGCCTGGAGCACCGCCGGTGTTCAAGGCGCGCTACGTGGCTAGGGGCTTCAGTCAGCGTGAGGGAGTTGACTTCTTCCAGACCTTCGCCCCGACCCCGAAGATGACTACTCTTCGGGTGTTACTCCACATAGCAGCGCAGCGAGACTACGAGCTGCACTCCCTCGACTTCTCCACTGCGTTCCTCCAGGGCCGACTGCACGAGGAGATCTGGCTGCGCTGTCCTCCTGGCTTCACTGACACCTTCCCACCTGGGACCCAGTGGAGCCTGAGGCGACCAGTCTACGGTCTCCGCCAGTTGCCCTGTGAGTGGCACGACACTCTTCGCTCCACGCTTCGTGACCTTGGGTTCAGCCCGTCCTCCTCCGACCCGTCGCTGTTTGTTCGAGCGGGTGCCACTCCTTTCTTTATCCTTGTCTACGTCGCCGACTTGGTCTTCGCTACAGCAGACAGGGCAGCCCTGGCTCAGGTGAAGTCCGAACTGCAGAAGAGACACAAGTGCACTGACCTGGGTGAGCTGCAGCGCTACCTTGGCCTGCAGATCACCCGGGACAGAGCCGCTCGCACCATCACACTGACGCAGTCACACATGGTGCAGCAGGTCCTTCGGCGGTTCGACTTCCATTTCTCCACCACACAGCCCACTCCTCTTACTGTTGACCACAGACACACGGGCCCCTTTCCTGACGAGCCCTTTGAGTCCAGTGGTCCCTACGCAGAGCTGGTGGGCTGCCTCATGTACCTGATGACTTGTACTCGGCCGGACCTCGCCTTTCCCCTCAGCATCCTTTCTTGCTTTGTTGCGACTGGGAGACACCGTTCTGTCCACTGGACAGTTGCTGTGAGGGTGGCGAAGTACCTGGCGACTACATCAGGCATGGGGCTTGTGCTTGGAGGGACCCAGCCAGTGGCGTTGACCGGTCACTGCGACTCTTCCTACGCTGACGACGTGGAGACTCAGCGCTCGACTCAGGGTTACTGCTTCAGTCTGGGAGCTGGTGCTGTGTCGTGGAGGTCTACACGGTCGTCGTCTGTGGCTACTTCCAGTGCAGAGGCAGAGATCTACGCTGGCGCCATGGCGGCACAGGAGCTTCGCTGGTTGACCTTCTTGCTCGCCGACCTTGGTGAGCGGCCTCGCTCTGCACCGACCTTGTACGCTGACAACAAGGTCATGATCCTTCTGTGTCGAGAGCCTCGACTGGAGACCAGAGTGAAGCATATTGACGTGAGGTACTTCCTCCTGCGAGAGCTGCAGCGACGCGGTCAGGCACGCCTGGACTTTGTGGCCTCAGAGGCCAACACTGCAGACGTCTTCACCAAGGCCCTGGCGCCTGGTGACCACCACAGGTTCTGTGTGCAGTTGGGGCTTGTTGAGGTAGGCCCTCGGTTGCTGTGGTAATGTTGCTTGCTCTGCTTGTTGTGCTTTGTATTTATATATTAGCGAACTCTTGAATTGGTCTTGTGGCCGCTTGCTTGCGCTCGGAATTTGTGTGATGTCCTTGAGATCCACCCTGAGCTTGCCTTGTTTCTTGCTTTGACTGGTCTTGTGACTGTTTATTCACCTTGCTTGCTTTGATGCCCCTCACTTAGCCTATGGGGGTGTGTCAAATGTTGTTATAGTCTCTTAGGCTACAGTGAGTAGCACTCTAAGGGGTACAACTCTATTTGTATGTCTTGTTTCTCTAGTTTCACATCATTCCGTTGGTAACCACTCTTGAGAGTACGGTACTAGTGTTCCGTATGAAAGCCCATGGGCTAAAACAGTGGCATTCCTGCTTGCCAATCGCACTTTAGCAGCAAGCCCGAATGCCCCATGCAAGTCACCCCTTAGTAGCCCACTGAAGCCCAGCCATACTTCTGCAGCTCCACCCGCAGGGCCTACCATGTATGTGGGAGATGGGAGAGGGAGATGGGAGAGGGGCATGGGGGGAACGATTGGGGGGGAGGGAGGAGAGGAGGGTTTGAGAGGCAAGACCGAGACAGTCTGCCCAGCTGTAGTGACCCGGTGGAATGGGAAGCCCATTCCTACTTCTCCACCCGCTGGGCCATGCATGTGGTGGCCATGGAGAGATGGGAGATGGGCAAGTATGGTGGGCTGCCCAGCTTATGCTTGGCCCATAAGCCCTGCCACCAAAGCTTGAGAATGCACACCACTTGGCCGCAATGCAGTGCAAGCGAGATTCCGTTGTTCGCAAGCCATGCTGCCATCACACGCGTACCCCGTCTATTATTCATTTTTAACCCCCTCCCCCCCAACCCCCCACTATCAACTCGCCCCGCTCCCCACCTTGATACGCTTGCCGTTGGCATCCAAATCGCTCTCCCCCATCCCAGATGCACTGCGGTACTCCACCAGGGAACGCTTGCCCGGGGAAACCAGAACTCCCACCCCACCCCACCCCACCCCACCCATTCACCTCCCACGCACACCCCTCCCTTTCCCACCTTGATGCGCTTGCGGTTGGCATCGAGATCGCTCTCCCCCATTCGGGACGCACTGCGGTACTCCACCAGGGCGCGGCTGCCCTTGGGGAACCAGAACTCTACATCGTCCACGTACTGGGGAGGGAGGGGAGAAGGGTGGGGGAGAAGGGGGGAGAACGGGTGGGGGGGTAGGGGGGAGAGGGGAGCAGACAGGTGAGTGAGAGCGGCACGCACTGCGTGCGGTACTCCACCAGGGATCGGCTGCCCTTGGGGAACCAGAACTCCACGTCATCCAGAACTCGTACTGGGGAAGGCGCGGGGGCGAGAAGGAGGTATGAGGAAGGGGAGACAGATGAGGCCTGGATGCAGTGCGATACTCCACCAATGGATCAGCTGCCCTTGAAAGCAGCTTCAACACTCCACCAGGGATCAGCTGCCCTTGAAAGCAGCTTCAACACTCCACCAGGGATCAGCTGCCCTTGAAAGCAGCTTCAACACTCCACCAGGGATCAGCTGCCCTTGAAAGCAGCTTCAACACTCCACCAGGGATCAGCTGCCCTTGAAAGCAGCTTCAACACTCCACCAGGGATCAGCTGCCCTTGAAAGCAGCTTCAACACTCCACCAGGGATCAGCTGCCCTTCAAAGCAGCTTCAACACTCCACCAGGGATCAGCTGCCCTTGAAAGCAGCTTCAACACTCCACCAGGGATCAGCTGCCCTTGAAAGCAGCTTCAACACTCCACCAGGGATCAGCTGCCCTTGAAAGCAGCTTCAACACTCCACCAGGGATCAGCTGCCCTTGAAAGCAGCTTCAACACTCCACCAGGGATCAGCTGCCCTTGAAAGCAGCTTCAACACTCCACCAGGGATCAGCTGCCCTTGAAAGCAGCTTCAACACTCCACCAGGGATCAGCTGCCCTTGAAAGCAGCTTCAACACTCCACCAGGGATCAGCTGCCCTTGAAAGCAGCTTCAACACTCCACCAGGGATCAGCTGCCCTTGAAAGCAGCTTCAACACTCCACCAGGGATCAGCTGCCCTTGAAAGCAGCTTCAACACTCCACCAGGGATCAGCTGCCCTTGAAAGCAGCTTCAACACTCCACCAGGGATCAGCTGCCCTTGGGGAACCAGAACTCCACGTCATCCACGTACTGGGGGAGGGGGGACGGTAGGAGGAGAGGGGGGAGGGAGGGGGAGCCTCCCTCCCCATGCCCGGGGGGAACCAGAACTCCACGTCATCCACGCACTATCCCACTCACACCCCTCACAAGCCACCCATCGCACTCACCCCCATGAGAGCCTCTCATGCACATGCCATTCACATGCCATTCAAGGCCATTAAAAGCCACTCACCCCCATGAGCGGGCTCTCATATTCCACATAGAGGTAGTCGGGGCGGCGAGTGATGATGGTGGCTCTGGTGGCACAAGACAACCTTTCACATGCACTATCCCACTCATACCATCCACATCCCGTTCAAGGCCACCCATCCAGGGCACTCATCCCACGCGCCTTACTCACTCACCCCCATGAGCGGGCTCTCATATTCCACGTAGAGGTAGTCAGGGCGGCGAGTGATGATGGTGGCTCTGGTGGCACAAGACAACCTTTCACATGCACTATCCCACTCATACCATCCACATCCCGTTCAAGGCCACCCATCCAGGGCACTCATCCCACGCGCCTTACTCACTCACCCCCATGAGCGGGCTCTCATATTCCACGTAGAGGTAGTCAGGGCGGCGAGTGATGATGGTGGCTCTGGTGGCACAGGACAACCTTTCACATGCACTATCCCACTCATACCATCCACATCCCGTTCAAGGCCACCCATCCAGGGCACTCATCCCACGCGCCTTACTCACTCACCCCCATGAGCGGGCTCTCATATTCCACGTAGAGGTAGTCAGGGCGGCGAGTGATGATGGTGGCTCTGGTGGCACAAGACAACCTTTCACATGCACTATCCCACTCATACCATCCACATCCCGGTCAAGGCCACCCATCCAGGGCACTCATCCCACGCGCCTTACTCACTCACCCCCATGAGCGGGCTCTCATATTTCACGTAGAGGTAGTTGGGGCGGCGAGTGATGATGGTGGCTCTGGTGGCACAAGACAACCTTTCACATGCACTATCCCACTCATACCATCCACATCCCGTTCAAGGCCACCCATCCAGGGCACTCATCCCACGCGCCTTACTCACTCACCCCCATGAGCGGGCTCTCATATTTCACGTAGAGGTAGTCGGGGCGGCGAGTGATGATGGTGGCTCTGGTGGCACAAGACAACCTTTCACATGCACTATCCCACTCGTACCATCCACATCCCGTTCAAGGCCACCCATCCAGGGCACTCATCCCACGCGCCTTACTCACTCACCCCCATGAGCGGGCTCTCATATTCCACGTAGAGGTAGTCGGGGCGGCGAGTGATGATGGTGGGTGTGAAGCCATCGGGCTTGGTGGCTGTCACCTGGGGCAGCGAGGTTGAAAGGAGTAAGGGAGGGGATGGAAAAGGGGCGGGAGAGAGGGGTGGAGAACAAGCAGGGGCGTGTGGAAAGTAAGGCACGAGCGATGCTGATGGTGGGTGTGAAGCCATCGGGCTTGGTGGCCGTCACCTGGGAAGCGAGGTTGAAAGGGGCACGGGCGGGGATGGAAAAGGGGCGGGAGAGGGGTGAGGAACGAGCAGGGGTGAGTGGAGAGTAAAACGCGGGTGATGAGGGTAAGCGTGAAGCCATCAGCCTTGGAGGACGTCACCCGAGGAGGCGCGCAAGGGGGGTGAAAAGAAAAGGAGGATGGAGGGGTGGCTGGCAGGTGGGAAGGGGTGTTGGGGCAGGGGGGGGGGGTTGGGTTGCGGAAAAGGGGGGTTTTGGAATGGAGGAGAACGGAATGGGTGGACAGCGGGTGCGTGGGCGTTGATTACAGTGCTAAGAGTAATCGAGAGCGTGAAACGGGAAGAATCGGGAAAAATGAAATGCGAGGGGAGAGATGCGAGGTGGGAGGGAAGGCAGGTTGAGTAGCGAGTAACGAGTGGGAGAAGGAGAGGGAACACAAACGAGGGGCAGTGGGGACGAATGGGGAACAGTCACCAACTCCGTTCCATTTTCTTTACTTCCTCCTCATTGGCTTTGACGTTCACTATCCCACCTATTCCCTTCATCCCGGTAACCTTCCTCCCTCCCCTACCCAAACCTTCCCAAGCTGGTTCTCCCTCCCTCCCTCTTCTCTTCTACACCTCGTGCACTTCCCCTTCGTTCCCACTTCTGTTCCACCCCTCCTCTCCAGCACTCCGCCCCCCCACCATCCCTCCATCCTCTCCTCTCTCCACCACTCACCACCACCACCAGCACTCACCACCCCCGCTATCCCTCCACCCACTCCTCTCCACCCACTCCTCTCCACCACTCACCACCGCAACGAGCTCCTCCATTGCCTGCTCCTGCGAGGCGGGGTTCTTCCTGCCGCGCCCCTCCTCGGGGTTGTACGTCCTGAGAGGCACAAGAGAGAGGCACGGGAGAGAGGCACGGGAGAGAGAGGCACGGGAGAGAGGCACAGCAGAGAGGCACGGCAGAGAGGCACGGCAGAGAGGCACGGCAGAGAGGCACGGCAGAGAGGCACGGCAGAGAGGCATGGCAGAAGGCGGGAGACGACGGGAAAGCACAACGGGTAAAAACGGGAGATGGCGGGAAAGAGAGAGGAGCAGCAGGGCGCACAAGCAACAATCAAACAAAGAACAACCAAGGGGCCTGAGAACGAGTGCTAAGGCGCTTCAAAAGGTGATGCACGCACCAACAGGCACTGCCAGTGGCAACTCTGCAGATTGCTTTGCTCTGTACGGAGGGGGAGCTTATCTCCTTCCTCCTGTGGTCTCACCAGGTGGCACGTAGTGGTCTGTGCACTCACCAGGGGGCACGTAGTGGCGCGGGTCGTTAATCTCCTCGGACGTGCAAATGCAGTTGGGCGACGCGGGGCAGTACAGAACAGCCCGGCTCTGTTGGGTATCGCACTCTGATATGCGCGCACCAAGGCTGCACTGTATAGGTACTCTGGGCTCACCAGGGGGGAACGTAGTGGCCGGGGTCGTTGATCTCCTCGGACGTGGAGATGCAGTTGGGCGACGCAGGCAGCAATAGGCGCTGCCAGAATGAGAGGGGGGGGCTCATCTCCTGTGCGCTCATCTCCTGTGCGCTCACCAGAGGGGAACGTAGTGGCCGGGGTCGTTGATCTCCTCGGACGTGGAGATGCAGTGGGGCGACGCGGGGCAGTACAGTACCATCCGGCTCTATCCGATCAGTACCATCAGGGCGGCACATGGATCTTACCAAGGGGGAACGTAGTGGCCGGGGTCGTTGATCTCCTCGGACGTGGAGATGCAGTTGGGCGACGCGGGGCACAGCGCCAGCGCGGGCGGGTCGCGGGTCACGCCGAGGAACGACGGGCGCGTGCCGCTGGCGTGATGATGAGTGTACGGGCGGGGGAAGGAGGGGGGGATGGGGAGGGATGAACGCACACGGTAATCAGATTGCCAGCGCGGGCGGGTCGCGAGTCACGCCCAGGAACGACGGGCGCGTGCCGCTGCAAGGGCAGCAAGGGGGTGTGGGGGTTGGTGTGGGTGTGGGTGTGGGTGTGGGTGTGGGTGTGGGTGTGGGTGTGGGTGTGGGTGTGGGTGTGGGTGTGGCAGAAGGGCGTGTGGGAGGGGGACGATGGCAGCACACTTGGAAGGGAAGGGAGAGCATGAGGATATCAGAGTGTCAGCGAGAGCGGGTCGCGAACGACGGGTGCGCGCATGCTGCTGCCGTGAGTATGGAGGGAGGAAGGGGCGGCGGGCAGGTTGGGAGAAGGGAGAAAAACGGCGGGGCGAGGTTGGGCCACGGTGAGGATAGGTGAGCGCACGATAATTATCACAGTAGAAGTTAGCGAGTGGAAGTCGCGCCGCCTCGCGTCGAGGGGACGCGATGAATCACAGGATGATTCCAATGCATGAATGTGACCATGCGGAAAGAAATTGACCGCACAATGCGTGTAGACTTGCAAACAGTGCGTGCATGCAACTCGCCGCGACACAACAGTGCCAGCTTTGCCATGTCATGCCACGTCATGCGACGTCATGCCACGCTTCAGTTAAATCAGTGAAAATCGCCATCAGCGATTCATTTCAACCTCGCAGTGCTTCTTCTGCCGCTTGCCGCGAGCGAAGCCGATCGCGATGGCATTCGTAGCCAGACACACCGTTCACAACCACAAACCCCAATCGTTGTAATTACCGTCGCACATACTCGCAACGCTATGGTCAGTGACTAATGCCGACCCACCCACCCACCCTCCCACACACGCACACACCCTTTGATAGATAGGACCACCCACCTGAAGTGGAAGAGCGCGGCGAGCATGGCGGCCGACGACGAGCGAAGCATCAGCTCCCTGCGAGTCGTCGCCTTGCCGTCGCTCGATTCGTCGCTCGAAGCCTTGGCGACGACATGCGACAGACGGCGCGACGGTGCAACGCAGGTAGACCGCGCAGAGACAAGAGCCCGCGAGGAGGAAGCGAGCGTGGCGCTGAGGGACACGGGGAGAGAGAGTAAGGAACAATGAGGGAGAAATAAAGAGAGTGCATTGGATCGATGCAGCGAAGGCGCTACATGCCAGAATGTAAAGGCATCAGATTCAAACTTGGCTGGAAAGGCGTGGTTGAGGAAAGAGACCTGCTGGCCAGAGAGGCGGCCTCGAGGGAGGCGCAGAGAGACGCCATGGCTGGTGAATGCTGGAGAGTGAGGAGTGGTGGTGGAGAAATGAGGAACAAAGAACTGTTGAGAAAGATTCACATTTTGAATGTGGGATGGGATGGAAAGGAAGTTGGACAGGAGAGCAGTTGCTTCTGTTGACGCAGCGAGATTTGCGAGAGTAACTTGCGTAAGCGATTTTTCAGGGAACCGGAAAAATGTGATTGACGAATTGAACCTAGACTTCGCAAACTGGCGAGCACTGCCACGTCGACTCCTAATGACGTGGACGGATCAGCACGACCAAATCTGACCAGGACCCATGGCTTCTGGAAGCTTCATGCTGTGACCCTGAACTGTTTCCCAGAGTCTAAATATTCTTTGAACTAAATCGTTGTCGTGGTTTCGTAGTGTAGTTGGTTATCACGTCAGTCTAACACACTGAAGGTCTCCGGTTCAAGTCCGGGCGAAGCCACTTTTGACCTTCTCCGGACACTTGTGTTCATCCCTGGTAGCTCCTCTTTTTGGCTCTAGCGAACTTGTCTCTTTTTGGCCCTGGAGCTGGTGGGCACTGGGCATGTGAAAGTCAGTCAAATCTGCCTGGATGCGTTTATGCTGCATGCATAACCAGCATACCGATCAAGCTTCCACATAGCTGTTGATCACAATAATCCACTTAAGGTACATTTTCCTATCTGCTTGCTACTCATTTCAGGAGCACGATTTCTTCAAAAAGCGTGCTCATTGCGCAATCACCCCCCTGGCCTGGATGGACATTTTCCAGCCTTGGCCTGGTTCAAGACGCCCCTGCTTGAACTGCCCTCGGTCCTGTTCAGGTGAACCCTTCTCTGCCCTTGGTCAGGTTCAAGACGCCCCTGCTTGAACCCTTTGCTGCCCTCAGTCCTGTTCAGGTGAACCCTTCCCTGCCCTTGGCCTGGTTCAAGACGCCCCTGCTTGAACTGCTGTTCAGGTGAACCCTTCCCTTCTCTTGGTCAGGTTCAAGACGCCCTTGCTTGAACCCTTCGCTGCCCTCGGTCCTGTTCAGGTGAACCCTTCCCTGCCCTTGGCCTGGTTCAAGCCGCCCCTGCTTGAACCGCTGCCTCGCCCTTCTCTGCGTCGCCTTGTTGCAGGTCCCAGGAGGAAGCACACGGCACGCGGTAGCGCCTCAGGATCTGAGCGCTGGCCTGAAGGGGAAGAATATGCAGATGAAGAGAGCAATGGGGGAGAGCGTAAGATGAGAATGCAGAGGAAGCGAGTGACGGGAGTGCAGAAACGGGGGAAAGGACCAAAAAAAGGAGGCGAGTGGGAGAGAGAGGAAGAGATGGGAAGAAGCTGAGGCACGCTGCAGCAGCACTGCAGGATGACTGTTTGAAGGCACCGTTTGGGTGCACACAGAACATAGAGTTTCAAGAGTTTCAACAGAATCTGGCAGGAAAGACTTGAGCGAGCAAGGGACAAGCTGGCTCTCGCCTCAAAGCAAGCCGCCCCCAGTTCCTCGGACTCACGATCTCAGAGCTGTCCAGCTCATACTCACTGTGGGAGCTGTTACCTTCTTGAGGTTTAGCTGCTTGGCACTTCCTCACCAACCAAGGAGTGTTCTTCACTGAGGGTGTGCTCTTACCTTCACCGACGGGCGTCTCTTACCTTCAAGGGGTGCTCTTACCTTCTTGGCAGCAGAGACGCTGACAGCAATCACGCGGTCGTCGTCCAAATCGAATCTGACGAAGCCGTCCGTGCACTGTAGCACTTCGTCCCGCAGCTGCCTCAGGTTCTCCACCTCCTTGCCGTTGACTCGCTTGACCTGGAGGGGTATAATAAAGGGTGGTTGGGTTGGGACCAACATACAGGGGGAAACACCCTTGAGGGGTCCACACAGATACAACAGCCTCAACTTGTCCACCTCCTTGCCGTTGACTTGCTTGACCTGGAGAGGCACAACAGAGGGTGGTTGGGACCAACATACAGGGGAAACACTCTTGAGGGTACTACACAAAAAATGGCCTCAACTTATCCACCTTCGTGCTATCGAATCGCTTGACCTGGAGGGAACTAAAGGTGGTTGGGAGCAACGCACATGGGAATAAGATCAGCTATTGACTTGCTTGTTTCTAAAGAAAACAAAGTGTAGGTGGCATCAAGTTAAACAAAGAATTGCGGTGGGTGTGATCGGAATGAAGGAGGAATAAGAGGTGATAGGACCAAAACGAAGGGGTATAAGTTGTGGGAGAGGGAATAAAAGGGCAATACAAGCATGAGTGAAGCAACAGCCTCTTATGAAGGGACTGGTGGGGCGCGCCCGAGGGAACATTCGGGGCATACTCCAATGCACACTCAGCTGGATCATGCATATGGACAGATGGAAGTGACATGGGTTCGCATGGAAGTGACATGTGCCTGCAAGGGAATGACATGTGCACACATCCTCTTCATTCCCATGTGCATGTGAACCGCCCACTAGTAGCCCCTTCCTCCACTGTCCACCGGTCAGTGTCACATGAAGTGCCGCAGTACCCCACCCCATCAGAACCCCCCCTCATCGCCTTCAGCTCCGCGGTTCAATTCCGTTCCTACGCACTTCCAGCCTCTGACAGCTGGAATTGATTCCATCCGCCAAGTGCTACGTTCTCACCTGTCAACACTCACCACCCGCCCTTTCTCTTCCCATTAGAATCACCCCCACCATCGTGCACAGCACTTCCCCCTCACCTGCAGCTCCGCCAGCCGTTCAAAGCCGGAGTTCACTTCATCTGCCAGCACCTGCCGTGGTGAGGTGAAGGCAGGGGAAATGAGTGGCAGGAGGAAGTGAATGGGGAGGGAAGGGAAAGAATGGGGGGTGAGTGGGTAGGAGGACGACATACGAGTTCACTTCATCTGCTCCTGCTGTTGGGTGAGGGCAGGCGCAGGGCCAGAGAACGAGACAAGCAAGGCAAGTGAGTGGATAATATGATACACGTGGTGAAGGGTAGGTGGGGACGACACAACACAAGCATGGAGGATGAGACAAAAGGCTGCTTCATCTGCCAGCACCTGCCGTGGTGAGGGCAGGCGCAGGGCCGGAGAACGAGACAAGAGCGGCGGGTTTGTGGGGATAAAAGTCAAGTCAAGAAAAGAACGACCGGTGAGTGGAGATGATATCCATGCTGAGAGAGGGAAAGTCTATTTATGAGTCGACTAAAATTTTGTCTCATCACACAAGGAACGACGGGTGAGTGGAGATGATATACATGCTGAGAGACGGAAATGGAAAGAGGAAACCGGTGGGGGTTGAGCGGGAAGGGAAACAACATACGAGGGCACTTCCCCGAACCCTTTCCTCCCACTCACCCGCGACAAGCCTCCCCATCCCTCTCTCCCCCCTTCCCTCCCTCCCCCTCTCCCCCCTTCCCTCCCTCCCCTCCCCCTTCCCTCCCTCCCACTCACCCGTGACAGGATCACAATCTGCTGGCTGGGCTTGGAGGGGATATCTCTCAGCGCGCGCTCGCACAGCCTTCGGGGGCTGCTGTTGAACCAGTCAGGGCCGTACTCGTGCAGGTAGGGCTGGGAGAGTGGCACGAAGACCAGGCCCGCGAATATGAAGTAGGAAGGGGATATGTCAAACTGCTGCGCTGGCACCAGTGCTGGGATCTGATGGGGGGAGAGGGGGGAGAAGACGGGAGGGAAGGGGGGAGGGGGGAAGAGGGGAGGGAAAAAGGAGGAGAGACGGGGCAAAGCCGGCTGGGGCTGCTGTTGAACCAGTCAGGGCCGTACTCGTGCAGGTACGGCTGGGAGAGTGGCACGAAGACCAGGCCCGCGAATATGAAGTAGGAAGGGGATATGTCAAACTGCTGCGCTGGCACCAGTGCTGGGATCTGGTGGGGGGAGAGGGGGGAGAAGACGGGAGGGAAGGGGGGAGGGGGGAAGAGGGGAGGGAAAAAGGAGGAGAGACGGGGCAAAGCCGGCTGGGGCTGCTGTTGAACCAGTCAGGGCCGTACTCGTGCAGGTAGGGCTGGGAGAGTGGCACGAAGACCAGGCCCGCGAATATGAAGTAGGAAGGGGATATGTCAAACTGCTGCGCTGGCACCAGTGCTGGGATCTGATGGGGGGAGAGGGGGGAGAAGACGGGAGGGAAGGGGGGAGGGGGGAAGAGGGGAGGGAAAAAGGAGGAGAGACGGGGCAAAGCCGGCTGGGGCTGCTGTTGAACCAGTCAGGGCCGTACTCGTGCAGGTACGGCTGGGAGAGTGGCACGAAGACCAGGCCCGCGAATATGAAGTAGGAAGGGGATATGTCAAACTGCTGCGCTGGCACCAGTGCTGGGATCTGGTGGGGGGAGAGGGGGGAGAAGACGGGAGGGAAGGGGGGAGGGGGGAAGAGGGGAGGGAAAAAGGAGGAGAGACGGGGCAAAGCCGGCTGGGGCTGCTGTTGAACCAGTCAGGGCCGTACTCGTGCAGGTACGGCTGGGAGAGTGGCACGAAGACCAGGCCCGCGAATATGAAGTAGGAAGGGGATATGTCAAACTGCTGCGCTGGCACCAGGGCTGGGATCTGGTGGGGGGAAAGGGGGGGGAAAGGGGGAAGAAGGGGGGGATGGGGGGGAAAGGGTGGGAAGCGGGGGAGTGAAGGGAAGGGGGGAAAGGGGGGGAAGTGTGGGGAAGGAAGTACGGTATATGGGAGGGAAGCGGCATGAAGACGAGGCCGGCGAGTAGAGGGGGAAATGTCGAACTGCTGCGCTGGCACCAGCGCTGGGATCTGGTGAGGGGAAAAGGGGGGGGAATGGGGGGGAAGGGGGAAGGGCATATGGGAGGGAAGAGGCACGACTTGGGTGAGCGCTCGTGCAGATAGGGCTGGGTCAGCGGCACAAAGACAAGGGCGGCGAAGATGAAGTAGGAGGGGGAGATGTCGAGCTGCTGCGCTGGCACCAGTGCTGGGATCTGGTAGAAGGGCGGAGGATGGGGGAGGGAAAGGGAGGGGAAGAGGGGAGGGGCAAAGGGGGGGAGAGGGAGGAGGGCATTAACTTCTCACAAAATCGCCCTTGACTAAGTAACCTTCACCTCTATTCACGAGAGAGAGCCCTATTAAAACTTCTTTCTGCAACACATGCGTCAACGAGTTGAGCTGGTGAAGAGAGAGCGCTGGTGAAGAGAGAGCTGGTGAAGAGAGAGCGCTGGTGAAGAGAGAGCGCTGGTGAAGAGAGAGCTGGTGAAGAGAGAGCGCTGGTGAAGAGAGAGAGCTGGCCTCCTCAGAGGTTCTGGGTTTAGGGTCATACAAACCGATGTGAAACAAACCGAGTTGGGCCGAGACGGATGTCAAACAAACCCCATGGGGTACCCCCCGTGCCGCTGCACCAACACTCTAGCATTCTTGGCATTCCTCCCATTCAGCTACCACTAATGCATTCTCGACACTCCACACATGCAGCCACATGGCGCGTCCTTTCAGCCTTCCTCTGCACACCTCACCGCCTCACCAGGTTGAGCCGAATGTGGAAGTCCATGGGCTGCCCGACACTCTAGCAGTCATGGCAGTGCACTGGGTGCACTCACAGAGACAGATGCCCTTTCTCTGCATGCATGCCTCACCACCTCATCGCCACGCCACCGCATCGCCACACCGCCTCATCGCCTGACCACCTCACTGGGTTGAGGCGGATGTGGAAGTCCATGGGCTGCCCGTGCCGCAGCACCGACACTCTAGCTTTCAATTCAACCACTAATGCAGCTACCTGGCAGCTCCTTTCATCCTCTCTCTGCGCGCCTCACCGGATTCAGCCGAATGTGGAAGTCCATGGGCTGCCCGTGCCGCAGCACTGACACCCGGGCGGTCTCGCCCACCGGCTTGAGAGACACCAGGTAGTCAAAGGGCAGGCGCTCCCTCTTGCGGAACATGACTGCCAGAGGGGGAGTGGAGTAAGGGGGGAAGGGAGAGGAGGGGAGAAGGGAGAGTGAGGGGGGATGAGAGAGACGATATGCACTGCTTGTTTTGAGAGAAACACGAGGTAGTCAAACGGCAGCCGCTCCTTCTTGCGGAACATGACTGCCAGAGGGGGGAATTGGGGGGAAGGAAGGAGGTGGAGAGGGAGAGATGGGAAGGATGAAAGACTCTATGATTGCTTTGATGCACACGAGGTAGTCAAACAGCAGACCCTCTTGCGGAACATGACTGGAGAGGGAGATTGGGAGACAGGGGAGAGGGGAGGGACGAGAAGGATGATACGAGGTAGTTAAAGGCCAGACGCTCCCTCTTGCGGAACATGACTGGAGAGGGGGAGGAAGGGAGGGATGAGAGAAACATATGGGGGGGGCAGGGGAGCAGGGCCGGAGCGAGAAGGGGCACGAAGGATATCAACAGCTTGAGCGACACGAGGTAGTCAAAGGGCAAACGCTCCCTCTTGCGGAACATGACTGAGGGAGGAGAGGTTGTGGGAAAGGGGTAAAGCGGGGAAGAGGTAAGTTTTAGTAGTTTCAGAGACATTAGGCTTCACGCTCCCTCATCACTCACTCCACCCATCATTGGCTATCAGAACAGTGTCAGAAGATCGTCAACATTCCACAGAGAGAGGTCACTTTTGAGTCGACTCAACTAGCATGCTTGGAGGAGTTTGCTAAAATCTCAACAAGTACTCACTTGACCCGTCAAACGCCATCACGTCAGCGCGTCGTCATTGACTAACCAGCGCCTCGAGTCGAATGAACAAGCGTGTCGTAGCGTGTTCTGGGTCCAGCTCAAAACTCAACAACGACTCTCATCATTGGCCACTCACTGGAGCCGTCATTTGCGATGGGAACAACGCCGCCAACACCGTCAAACACGTAGTCATTGCGCAGGCAGCAAGGTGATGGTAGATTCAACTCAACAAGTCTGTTATAGCTTGTTATGAGACTCAAGGCTCAACAATCACTCACTGGAGCCGCCGTTGGCTATCGGAACCCCGTCAACGCCGTGAGCACATCGTCACTGCGCAGCCATCAGCTGGAGTCGACTGAACAAACGTGCTGCATCATGTTGTATGTCAGACTATCAACTCAACAACGACTCGCATCATTGGCTACTCACTCGACCCGTCATTGGCGATGGGAACGCCATCAAATGCCGTGAGCACGTCGTCGTTGCGCAGCCAGCGGCTGGAGTCGCTCAGCGGCTGCACGGCGTTCACGACCACTCCCGTGGCGCCACGTGGCATCTTGAGGTGCGCCCGCAGCTGCCAGTTCTCTAGCGGCTGGCACGACACGCCCAGCGAGGCGAAGCCCGGGAAGCGGCGGTGCCCCAGCGATGCGTCTGCTAGGAAGCGGCGAATGATGGGCACTGGGACGATGTAGCTGGGGGGGGGGGGGGCGAAGCGGTGGGGGAGGGAACAGAAAGCGGCGGATGATGGGTACTGAGAGGGGGAAGAGGGGGGGGGGGGGGGGGAGGGGGGGGGTTGAAGGAGACAAGAAGAGGGAGGGACAGAATGAAAAACGATGGATGATGATGGGCAGAGGCACAAAGAGGAGAAGGGGAGCAGAATGTAGTAGAGAAATGATGAAAACGACAGGTGGAGACGGGTGGAGGGAAGGAAAGAGAGAAAGGGGCAAAGGAATGCGTAGGGCAGCAAGGGCCTTAGGGAGCTGCTGAAGGGCCTTAGGGAGCTGCTGAAGGGCCTTAGGGAGCTGCTGAAGGGCCTTAGGGAGCTGCTGAAGAGCACATGAAAGCCTGTGAAGCGTCCCAGCTCCCCTGACCTGCACCTCCCCTTAACCACTCTCTCCCTTATTGCACACAATGCAGCACATGCTTGCACCATTCGTTCCATCACCCTGCCACCTCACTCCGCCACCTCAGCCCACAGCCACCCCACCCACCCAAAGTTCTCCGCCCCCAACAGGTCTCACATGGGCTTGCGTGCCAAGAGATTTTCTCTACCCTGCCTCACCGGAGATCGCATGCAAATAAGTGGTTCGCACTTTCAGCAACTCACCCAATGTTCTTCGCCCCTGACAGGTTCTGAAACGCCAGCCCGGCCACGCGGTACTCCAGCTGCTGCCCCCCTCGCGCCTAAAAACATGTGTGAAATAATCATTTTCGATTTCCCCCCTACCAACTAACGGAAGATCTCACCCCACCACCACCTTACCCGATGTTCTCCGCCCCCGACAGGTTCTGAAACGCCAGCCCCGCCACTCGGTACTCCATCTGCTGGGCCCCCTCCGCCCCCCTGCTCCCCCTCACCCCGCCCTCCCCCCACACCCCTCTCCCCATCCCTCCTCCCCCTGCTTCCCCACCACTCCCCCATCCTCCTTCCACTCCTCCCCCTCCTTCTGCCACCCCCCCATCTATTCCTTCCCCTCCCGCATCAGGGGCGGCAGTAGGGGCGGCAGGAGGGGCGGCAGGAGGGGCGGCAGGGGCCATGATGAGGGCGGGGCCGCCACTGTTGCCGGGGTTGATAGCGGCGTCGATCTGAATGGCCAGCAGGTGGGCCGCGCTGTGCACGTATTGCGTGGGCTCAACCCGTGATACGACTCCCATGGTGATGCTGATGTTGTCCCCGCCTGGGGAGGTGGGAGGGTGGGAAGGTGGGAGGGTGGGAAGGTGGGAGGGTGGGAAGGTGGTGGTGGGGCATGAGAGCAGTACAGTACGGGAGAGGTGAGGTGGTGAAAGCGTCGATCTGGATGGCCAGCAGCTGGGCTGCGCTGAGCACGTACTGCTTATGCAATGCACTACTGACTCATGAAGTCAGAATAACCCATACCATTTGATGCTGTCACCGCCCCTACTAGCTTTAGCCTTGACTTTCCAGATGCACCCCATTCGCACACTCACGCACATACCTTGCGGGTATCCCACCACGGCGATCGACTCCTGCAGCAGCGGCACGTCCCCCAGCTCCAGCGACCGCATGCCCTCCCAGAACTCCTCGCTGTCCGCGCGCGCATCCCCACTGCCCCCGCCGTTGATCCCCCCCTCCCCGCTGCCCACGCTCGCGGGGTCCTTTACCGAGAGCAGCGCCAGGTCGCAATCGTGTGCTACAGCTTCTACAGTAGCGAGGAACTTCTTAGGGGATCCGTGCCTTCTAACGAGTACAAACGTGTGGTCCGCGACGACGTGCGCGCTCGTGAGGATGCGGCGGCCAGATACGACGAATCCGGACCCGGTCACCTCGCGCTGCGGCTTGCTCTGCCAGGGAAGCCAGTAGTTAGGGCTGCTCGCGACGGCGAACACTTTAATTACGGAATCTAAAGCCGCCTCGCGATCGTCCGACATGCCGACTACTCCCGGAGTATGCTGGTGGTTCCCCGCGTTTCCCCCCGCGCCGTCCGCTGCTGCGGTGAAGCTCCTTGCGGCGTTCATGCCGAAGCTGGAGGTTCGGACGGGTGAGGAGAGGACCGAGGCTGCCGAACCTCGGTAGGTTTGAGGCCAGGTTCGGCATGGGAATGTGCCTTGCGGTTGTGATTGTAGCGGGGGCGCGGGGAAACCGTGCGGGGGGAAGGCGGAAGCGGACGGGGCTAGAATAGAAGGGATGGCGGAAGTCGGGGCGGAAGTGAGACGGGAAGGAGCGTCAGGCGCGCGCGGGGCGGAAGGGGGAATGCAGACGGCTGCGCGCGCGGGAAACACAGACGGCGGAAGGGGAAGCGGCGGAGAGGGGGAGGGGGAGGCGAGAAGGCGGAGAGGGGCGGAAGGGGAAGTGGCGGAAGGCGCGGAGGCGCAAGAATGGCGGTGAATGGTGCGCAGGAGGAGGTAGGAGAGGCGGTAGGCGGAGGGGAGGCAGGCGGAGACTGTCCGCTCGCGCGCCAATGCCATGGCCATGACGAGGCTGTGCCGCTGTATTTTATCCTCGGTATAAGAGTATGCTAGGCTCAGTGCTCTAACGGGTGCACAAATGCTTGTGGACGGCAGGTCCCCAGTGCTGGCAGGTCAGCGCGTGGGCGATCCCCACTGCTGCCTTGACCCGCACTCGCACTCGCACGCGGCAGCACCTCGCCTGCAAGGGGAGCAGGGAGCGGCGAGCGAGGAAAGCGGGTGGGAGGAGGGAGGGGAAAGAGGGTGAGAGGAGGAACCAGCGCACGAGCGCGTGAGCGCGAGCGGACGAGAGCACGACAGAGTTCCAGCGCACGAGCGCGTGAATGCATGTGCGCGTGAGAGCACTGGCGCGTGAGCGCATGAGCGCATGAGCGCACGAGCGCGTCAGCGCACGAGCGCACGAGCGCTTGAGCGCGTGGGCGCCTGAGTGCACGAGCGTGTGAGCGCACGAAAGCACGGCGCACGTGCGCGTGAGCCCGTGAGCGACTCACAGCAGGCTGTTGCGTTGCGCCATGGCGTTGATGCGGCTGCCGCACACACTCCCCATTGTACGATCGCGCCTAGGGTTACACGGGCCCGATTGCACCGCGTTAAGGTGATATGGGCGACTCGGGACAGCTGGAACGACGTGCGAAATACCTATCCGACGCTGCAACTGCTAGGCCTTATCTCTGCTGACGCATTCTAACCAGAAGCATCACGATCTGAAAGTAAACGAACAACTAATTACGAGGAACTGCTAATTTCGATCTGAACGAACAGCTTGTTAGAGTCCCACACAGGTGAGCGTTCGATTTCTCCTGCTAGGTTTCAAGTTGACTCGATTTGCAAGGGTTCGAAGCGGTTGGAATGGGTGGTGTTTGCCCTGGCAGGTTATGTACAGCACGGTCAAGGGGGTTACGTGGGATGTGATGGGGAGTAGAGAAGCGACAAACTCTGTGTTTGGGGGCGGGAAGGGGAGGTCAAGAAAGAGCGTGGTGCGTGCGACAGCGCGATTCCGCGACTGTCGCGAGCGCGCAGAGTAACTCGCTCGCTGCAACTTACAACGAAGGTTACAGCCGAGTCACTTGCTCGCTGCAACTTCACAACCACGTAAAACAGTAAAATATCCTCGCC